TTTTTGATTAGTTGATGTAAAGATGATCATTTGTTTTAGAAGTAGTATTAGTAGTAACAATAATATTTTAAAAAAAGTTGAATTTCTTCTTACCGACGATATCTGAAAGTTGTAGACAAAAACTAAAAAAAGGGAGTAAAATAAGAGAGACAGAAAATAAAAATGTCGACAACTAATATTATGTATTTTACTTTGTTTCAGTAAGTTGAACGTGCAGCTAAAGTGAAATTATTATTTTACATTTTTAAATACAAGAATTCATTGACTAAAAATACACAGAATCACATATTGTACTTCGTCTAGATCATATAAGATATAGTTGAATTATTTTTCTGGTTAGATTTCCAGTGAGAGAAAGAGAGAACAAGACTGAAGATTTCGGCAGTCCTAAATTCTTATTTTTAGTCTCTTTACAATAGTAAAGGAAAATGCTTACATGAAATTTATAATCTAATGATTCTACGTCTTTTTTATCTACCGGTCTTAATTGAAATTTTTTTAAGGAAGTGAATAAGAATAAAGTTTTCAAACATAAATAATGGACAAATTTTATTTTTTACTAAGTACTCACTGAGTTTTATGATGAATACATTCACGATATAACGTTTGATTCGGTATCTGCATGATAATTCCCTCGTAATCCAGTGATCGTATAGCGTCTACAGTCATGGTTAGAGACGTAATAATTATTGTGGTTATTATGTACATACATCTATCAAATTGTAAATATGAACAAAACGAGACAAAGGCTCCTCCATTGTAGATGATTCTTAGGTTTGGTGTTAGGCATAGGCGAAAGCTGTTTTTAAATCAAATTTATATCCACAAACTTCTCAACTAAAGATGTCAATATGATGACAGTCATAAAAATAATTTATGACAATGGTCTTTCATGCGCTCAAGCCCCAATTCCTGTATAAAAATGTATTCCGATCTTAAAACCCTTTGTAACTGCGTTAAACAAATCAAATTTGTTTGAGGACATCACTGAGTTGAGCGCTTTTTAATTAGTTAGATTACCACTTTATTAAACATTCCTTGCACAAATCAAGAATTAATCAAAAAGAAGATTATAAATTTAGGTGTAGTTATGAATGTTGGAGAATTCTTACAGTTTAAATCACAAACTGATCTTGGCTAGGTCATCATTGAAAACGCAGAGTCACTAGATGGATTCTTTTGTGGTCTAGACGTCGAGTGTTTAAACTCGGTGTTCAAGATTTGAGTATGATTCCCGAGTTCAAGTTAGTGAATACTTTCTGATCATAAGTCCAATACTAAGATCAAACCACTGTCCAGTTCTTTCAGGTTTAACGTAAATCTTTTCATGATTTCAATGAAATCAAAAAATCTCTACAACCTATACCAACAGTCAAATTTGTTTTTTCTTTTCAGTAAGAACTCAAAAAGTAGATGTCACTAGTTAAGTGACATATTTACTTAGTCATTCAATTTATCGCCTGAAAATATTATTCTAAACAAAAAAATGTCAGAAGGAGTATTTGTAGATATTTTAATAGTTGAGATCATGAGTCAATTCAAGGTAGACCAGCATGGAAAACCTGGAAGCACTGGACGATCGTTTCGTTCGATCGTGGGACTCCTCAGCAGGGCACATCCACAATCCCTCCTCGCGAGATTCAAAACAAGGAATTATCTGTCTCGCGTGTGAGCGCTTAACCTCCAAATTATTGAGATGGCCAGCATCCAATGGTGTTAATGTCTAACTTCAAATAATCCACCGAATTGAGCAACACATCTATCATTGTCTCTCGTGCGTTACTATCTCACAACAGACCCGGTTGAACTCCACTGGTCACTGCTTTATAGAATTAGTTCGAACCCTATAGTCATTTTCATTTATAGTTTATAAACGCAGTTTATAAATACCTCGTGAAGCCAGTCACTAGTGAGTATATATCTCATGAGCATATGACTCATGATCTCAACCATTGAAAAAAAAAGTAAACAAAGTGCATTTCACATAAAAGCACCAAAAATATATTCACTTGTGAAAAATAAAATAATTTAACAAGTAAACAGATGGAAGAAAAGTGTTGATTTTTAAAGGAACAAAAAAAAAGAAGAATAAAGTCATTAATCAAATGTGTTCATGTATATAAGAGATTTTATAATTATTCATTTATTCTGATTTAATAATAATAATAATAATGACAGTAATAATAATAACGGGTTATAGTAATAATAATAATAATATCGACTATAATGGTTTATATCTATTCATGATTAAAAATATTCCACATTGATAATAATAATAATAATAATAATAATAATAATAATAATAATAATAGTGATAGTAATGTTGTATTCAATTCATTAAGTGTACCAATTAATTTATTGGTTTATATGACATTTATTTCAAGTTTTCTTTGAACGTTGACAGAACAATAAAAAAGAAGGAAAAAAATACGCAAATAATGGTAACAAATAAGAAAAAGAAAAAGAGAGAAAAGGATTCCTCTTTTGTCTTTGTTTTGTTCAACAACTTTTTCTATCTCATATAATACAGACATATATATATATATATATAATGTTCAGACACATTGGTTATAAGATTTGGGCAGCAATTTTTTTTAAATTTCAGTCTTTCAATTATAGTTAAAAGGACAGATTGATTTCATATAAATTAAACATGATTATATATAGGATTAGCGTTTCTTTCTTTTGTACAGGTAATGGTGTTGATAATGAGCATATCTTCATAGAATATAGAAGATTAAAGATATTCTGACATAAATTTAAAAAATATATATATATATCCATATTGTCATCTTTTGTTAAAAATGACCTGTATTTTATTAAATTAATGAAATAAATGTTCCAGTCGGCTTTATTATTGTCTTCTATATTAACATTAACATGTTATCTGTTATTATTATTATTATAACTATTGCCGTAAAACATAATTAAGACTAGTTCACACCCTATACTCAGGCTATGCGTGCTCAAATTTATTAATGGACACAAAAGATGTTTCTAAATAGAGAAATCAAAAACTGAAAAGTGTTGACCTTGTTTACGCTAATAAATGATGTATGATTAGGAGTGGGCTTATCAAGCAAAATGTGATATAAAAAAGACAAAACAATTAAATTGTTCCACTAAAGGATTCTCAGTGAATATTGAAGTCTTAGTATGAATACAAACATCACGGTAATGGTACATCCAACAGACGAGTTCTTAATAAGGCAAAACAAGTGTCCAAGGGGTTTCATTACTATACACTATTAAACTTCACTTACAAATCTTATGACTTGATAACAATAACGTACAGGTTCACTCACGATACGTTTATCCCAAAATGGATTGATTGATTATAGTTCTTAATATCAAGAGCGGAAAGATTTAAACCCTTATAAGCAAAAATAAGAGAACCGTTTGGTTAGGAGATTAAAAAAAAGATAATACATCTTACATTTCAGATATTTCCAAATAGAAGGCTGACGTAAATGATTCACAACTTTTTTTCAGACTATAATATCAAAAAATGTCACTATGAATGTTAAACGTCGTACATTTTTTTTACAGAAATAATAGTTGAAAACTTGACTCTTTAAAAGTAATAAACATCAACATCGATGCATTTTTTCAAATTTATTATTATATTTCGTTTACTAACTGACGAAAGGTAAAATTATGATTATGTAATCAAATAATTATAGAATCTATACCTTCTAGGATACATAAATATACTTATTGTTTATAAGCAGAACTTCTACTAAGAACATATTTAATTACTTATAGATTGGTATTTACTCATTTAATAGGCATCATAAATAAAGTGATTATAATTATTTGTTTTTACTAAATGTAAGTCTTTTCTTACATATAAATACTATTGAATGCAACATAATTTATTTCATTGAAACAAGATATCACTAAACGTAACAGTAAAGTACATTATTATTCCATATTAAAACGATTAAATCACTTAAATAACTTTACAACGATAGCATATAGCTAACTACAGAATTATTTAACGATTAGATAAATATTATTATTATTATTAAACATTATATTTTTGGTACAACATAGAATTCTTAGCATAAAGTATTTCAACAAGTTTCCTTTTCTTATATCTTGATCGATTGTGACGATAAATTTTGAATGATGACCAGTTAGATGTTAGGTGTTCGGTAATCCACATTTGATTAATGTTCATTCGTTTGAATGTATATTGCCAGCCACCATGATGTCGCTGATTGTACCTTTTTGTATCCTGTATACCGAAAGGTTATAAACTTTCCATAAACGCGCATTAATATATTGTGAGCACAATAGACATAATGATGTGCTAAAACAAACAACAAAACAGATAACATGATGAAATATCTAGATCGGAGGAACAGGTAACCCAGATATCCTAATTCTCCATTTAGTAGAAATAAATAAAAACTTATAGAAACATGGATATATTTCATAAGCTTCTTGTAAGTTTAATTTGTGAATTCCTTCTAACTTATGTGTTTATAAAATTGAAAGTTATGGCTAAGAAATTCTTAATATTAGAAAGTTAATTGAGGATAGATATAGTATCCACTCAAATAGGATAAGTTTTTTTGAAAATAATAGTACATAATAACTTCTATGCGAAATAGGAGCACCAGTGAAAAAAAAACAGATATATATTAAGTAATCTACTTCATCAAGTTTGCTTACCATGAATTAAATTTCTAAAAAAACTATTCATTTGAGTCATATTGATTACAATTTATACTTAATTTTACTTTAACAGTAACGAACATGATAATTTGCTTGCCTTTCAGTCTCATTAGTCCATAGCTGAAAAGCAGAAATGGATCTATACGTCAATAAATATGCAGTATGCTTCGAGATAATTAATGGATAATTCTTATATTATTTATCAATAAGCTTAGACCAAACTGGTTGATAGAACATCGAAATTAATTTTTTCTAAATATTTTCTATCATAAAATTATCCTAAAATTAAAATGCACAATTTTTTTTTATTTTTCAAGGTATGGTTTCAAAATAGACGAACAAAATGGCGAAAAAAGAATGCAGCTGAAATGATGTCAAGTAGATCTAATCTGTTTACAGAAAATCCAACATCTAATCTAACTACTAATGCTGTACAACTAGCTAGTGGTGATTATGATCATACAGATTTAGGAAGTGAAAGTATGAGTGGAGACGATTGTTTTTCATCAGATGATGTAAATATGACTAGGCCAGAATCAAATCATTTGCCGTTAGAACAAAATTATCAATCAGAAATGGATAATGAACAAAAACGAACTGTAAATTTCTCTATTCCAATTACTACTAATAACAATTGTCCTACCAATACTATTAGAGATAACTTTGAAGTTGGTAATCATAATAATATATCTATGGGAATCGACTATACAAATACTCAGAAAATATCGTCAACTTCAATTAATCTGAATAAAGATAGTAATTCTTGCAAACAGCCACAATTGAATGATCTGAATTTATTAAACTTAATGTCTAAATCGCTTGAACATCAACAAGATTGGTTTCAGAAATATCACCAATCCAATTCACTTAATATATCACCTACGCAAATGATTAATCCACAACATTCTTCTTTTCTTAATGCATATGGTTTGAATTTGTTAAACTCTTCCTGTAATGATAATCAAGACGGAGTATCTCATACTTCAACTATAAGTCAATCGACAAGTAATAACAAAAGAACTTACTCCCTTAATAATGATGATTTTCCGTTAGGATCACCTACATCGAAAGGGTTTAGTATTCCCAAAGTAAATGAAACATCATCTCTAGATCACTCTACATTTAATGAAGAAAATCTAAATATGAAATATAATTTAAAATATCATGCCAATTCAAATTTTTCTAATCACTTAACTACATCTATGAATAATGACAAAAGAAATTTTAATCAAAATAAACATCAGAAATCATAACTTTCTGAAGATTTATTCTTTTCATAAAAAACCCATAAGCATTTCAATTACTATTAATGTGACCATTAATAATAATAATAATAATAATAATGTTTAATCGGTTAAGAAAACCCTTCATGATTTGGAATTTCTAATGTAACACTTTTCCCGTTATGTCATTATGAAATTGATAAAAGAAGACTCTTAAACTTCAAATGAATACAACTTTACTCATCAATCATGTACAGAATGAATATTATCGTTATTATTATCATCATCATGAATGATTGTATTGCTCTTCACTATTTTAATGGTCTATTTAATAAATTCAAATTCATCAATTTGATACATAATCATTATTTTTTAATTCTAATGGTAATAATTAACTTACATAATGAAATTATAGAAACATAAAATATAATATACACATATTTTCTTTTCAATTGTGTCATATCTTTTCTTTAGTAAATATACTACTACGACTACTACTAATTTCACTGTTAGTAATATATAAATAAGTAGGAATTGGAATGACTGTTACATTACAATTACACCAAAGCTTTATATATATATAATCATTCTGCTTTAAAGTACACATCAGTAAACTTATTTGATTATGATACATTACACAATCATAAATAATTGTCTGATTAAAATTTGTAAAAATGTACTATTTCACCTTGAATTTATTATACATTTGTAAAATCAACAATAAAACAGAATATTCAAATTATAAATGAGTCAATGAATGAAATTTAGGTTCCAAAAGATATTTCTTCAGAATAAAATAATAATTTTTTTTAAAAATGTAGAAAACATCCATTGTGTATAGTTTCTTCTATTGTTTGTTGTCTTTTTTTTTAGGTGCAATCAGTATGTAATTAGAAATATTTCCATATTATATATTTTAAGATAAACAGTGTTTTTCTTGTATCCATTTATACTGATGGTTATTATGAAAGCAGTTGAAATGGATAAGTGTTTATTTAGATGGTGGTTGGAGGCAGTCAACAGGAAACCCTTGATGAATGAGAAGCTGGGTGAAACGAGATCGAATCCGCCAGGGAGCACCAGTTCCCTCATTATTACGGGTACACCTTGCTGACGAGTGTCAAGTAGCACGAAACCCGGGTCCAGGGTTTCCTGTTGACTACCTCCAACCACCATCTAAATCTCAATACATAGTGCCCGCAGTGTCGAGTCACCTAGACTGGTGGCCACATTGCAACATGATCGAAAGCATTCGATCTGCACTAATAAGGACTAGACAAGCAAGACATTGATTACCACCCAGTGATCAATCATTTATAATAAGTGTTTATTTTCTCCTTTTCTTCATAAAGTAATTTTAATTGAATTTACATTTGAAGTTACTAATAAAAATGAAGCCTATTGTTTGTTGTCTAGAGATTATTGTCTAGGTTGGTCAGAAATTAATCTTTTAAACTAGGATCTAGTAGACATATAATTGCAACGTCATCAATCTGTTTGTAGGGATAATGAGTGTAGGTAATAATCTAGGATGCTTATATCGAATTTTTTGTTTTTACTTTGATCATATCAGAAGTAAATTGTTCTTATGAAAGGAACATTTTGTTGGATGAACAAAATCGAAAGAATCATAAGTCATGTCATCTAATCTGTTTTTTGATCAGTTCTAGGACTCCAACCAACTATTTAAAAATTACTTGGTAGGAAAAGTCATTGGTATTCATTCTAAGATAAAGAGGAAAACTTTACATTTTATCTTCAGTATAAAATACAACCATGCGGTAGAATAACTTGATGGTCTTAAATGTCTGAAGAAGTCTTCGTTGATGGTTATCCTGTCTTTTATATAAATTTATATAAATTTCTTAAACTCGTGTTTAATTTTATTGATTGTAGTTCTATCCCTAGAGAAACTATCTGCATCTGTCAGTGTAGAGGTCAAGTTACCCGTAAGTTCGTTACAGCATAGGAGAATTACCCCAACACCATTGGATGAGCAAAGCAATCGTTATTTCGTAAACATCATTTAATTGATATTTGTGTTCTTTTGACAGAAGCAATTGCGTAGTAGAGTTGTATCAGTATATTGATAATGATAACTGATAGAGATTGGTTTAAGTTACTCGAAATTTTTGTCAAATACTGTAATGAAGTAACTTGTTTGCTTGATGAAAATTTCCAATTGGTTATTTGTGTGGAATTGGTCAATCTCTGTCTGTGTTGCAAAACTTTGAATCAGTCGACAATCTATGCATTTGGGAGGTCGATGATGGAATACAAGAGTAGATGGACATATATTTCTCAGGCACTTAGGAAAAAAAGTTATTTGATATCGTCTGTTTTTATTATACGAAACACAATCATACGGTATTCTGCAAATGAGAAATATGAGATAGGCTTTAAAGTTATCCACAGATAATTTTTAACCAAATTCAACCTTCTAACCAAAATGCTCAGTGAGTTCAAAATATGATTTGAGAGACCTTAAAAACAACATTTATATTGCAGTAATAACAGAAAGCTAAATTAGAACGATAAATACAATCAAATAATATTCTTTACAATTTGATCCTCATCAAGCTTTACTCTAATATACAATAATATTTACATGCATATATGAAATTATCAAGTCGATCAAGGCAGTTTATAAGTCAGTGATAATAGTGGAAGATAACAGTACAATAGATTACATAAATAAAAATAATAAGCTTAACTTTTATTCTTGTTACATGGATAATACTTTCATAATTGTTTGTCAGATCATTGAAAAAAGAACACTTAGAGCTATTTAATAATAAACACTAATCAATCAAATTTACATATAAAGCGGAACTTGATAATAAGATACATTTCCTCGACGTTGTGTTAAACAGAAGAGGAAGTGGTTCTATCAGTAGAAGTGTGAGTAAAAAAGTTCGTCTTCAAGCCAATACACACATTTCTCGGACTTTGTACGCATACATTATAGGAAGAACCTGATTAGATGTCTTGCAAGTAGATCGAGAAAGGATAAGCTACATGGTTTTGCCACATCTATATATATATATCTATTAATTCAACTATATTCGGCGCACAACCAGACAACTGAGTCAGCGAATTATTAAACACCTCTCTTTGTGGTTATGAAAGGGTATCATGAAGATAATACGCATCTCTGTTCTATGACACTTAATCAAGAGCGGTCATGTAGCAGATGGATATAGGCCATTTAAAGTAATTTATCGCATCCCTATTAGTTTCCCTTATGGGGTCAGACCTCATCTCTTACATATAGCAGAAGCTATAAAGATTCTAGTTAAAAAACTAAATCTTTATATTCATAGAAAATCAGCCACTTTTGTCTCTTCCTTGACCGAATTAGTCTTAATAAAAGATTTTATTTATGATTTTCCATACTCCTTGTTCATTCATTTCTCTTCGACCACCATTTTTTCTTCATTGTCCGATCATCTAAACAAATCTTATCATTTATAATGAGTGTTATTTCAGTGTCTGTATTTCTCGAGCCATTGACCTAATTCTTATTATGAAACATTGTATCAAGCCTTTATTATTCTTATCACAATTAGTACACCTGTCATCACAATAAAAATTTGTACTTTTCACTTATGTTTATTTGTGTAATCTATTCTACTATTATCATTGCCTCATAATCTGCCTTGATTGTTTTGATAATTTCATTTATGCATATAGATATTATTGTATATTAGAGGATTGCTTGATGAAGATTTGATTGAAAACAATAATATTCGCTTATTATTTGCGATGTAATTCACAATATGGGAATTTTCAAAATTAGATAACCAAATGTTTACACTAGCTCTTTTGAATGAGGGATTGAAGCGGCATCGACAAAGGTGTTCAATATGATTATTAAGCAACGAAAGCCTCCTTTACTCTTCCATGAAGAAACCACTGTCACTAAGCACTTTCGAACTGATTTCTTTACTAAGAAAGGAAGTGCGGTAAATCTATTCCTCTGGTGTAGCAAAATAATATATTTGACATAAAATTACAGGACTTGTTAATAAAATCTAACAATCATAAAGTAAATGCTTAATTTGCAAAATATCCTTCAATTGTCTCATAATGACTCAGACTTCATTGCTCTTGCATTTTCATACAAATCGCATCCTGTTTCCATTCTTTACTGTTCGATCCTCTTGTCTCTCTGCTGCCAGACCTTCTGTTCACGACTAACATCATCCACTACTTATGTCAATGTAAGTAGCACACACCACAATGGAACCTCAGTTGTTAAACTATAAACTAACACACATCTATTCCCTTAATCCTCCCATTTTATCTCATTATTCCTAATCATGAATGATGATTCGAAGCCTCAAAGTAGGATGAATTCGTTTTATTTCCAAAATTATGTTGCTCCAGCATTTTCACATTGGTAAAACAAGTTGCATATTATCCATGACTTTTCTTAGAGCTTATAAAATGAATAATGTAAATGTATAATTGATGTTTGAGGTTTAAAGACAAATCATCAATTGCAACTTCTGAAATTATATTAGAAGGATTTTTAACAGACCTCAGTAGTTACAAGTGCATTTAAGTGGTCAGAAAACAGTAATCAAATTTGAGTAGGCAATTATTTATCTACTGAGTGTTTTGTGGAAGACTGTAATCAATTAGACAACTACTAAAAATTCAGAAATAATAATGAGTTAATTTATCTTTGCTTAAAACTCTCTAACAGTTCTATATATCATAAATCAGCTACAGTTGAAAAAAAGATCAATGATCTCTGATTTATCAGCCCAAAAATACCAATGTTATCCTTAAGAACTAAACATTATGAGTTTAAATAAGATGTTTACCATAGATGTCAAATGATAAAGTGACAAATACGAAGATGAAACAGCTTCTCATCTTTGCTTGGTTTTTGATGATCCTTAACCAATATTATTTCTACACGAAAACTGTCTCGGAACAAAATCTATTATGGTATGTCAGTAAAAGATAATCCATAACTAAGATTTATTTCTTAATCATTACGATTGGTACGGATTCTATCTTAACAGACTACATTCAAATAATCGTCGAACACTTACATATTCAGTAAAACAGAACAAAATATTATCATTATCACAAAATAAGCTCATATCATTTTTTAGAAATTAATTCATATCGAATAATTTAAGAAATACTATTTTACAGGAGTTATAAAAATGTTTTGCGAATAATAATTAACCTAATTACATTCAGATAGTGAAATATAATGAAGAGAGAAAAAAAGCACACCTTAATCTACTGAACAAACAATTTGCATAATCATATGAAAATAATGTGAAATTAATTCGATCATATGAGTACACTTGTAATATTTATAAATCTGCTTTTATTAGATACCTTCATATATATATATATATATATATATATATATATATATATATATATATATATATATATATATATATACTACAAGAATATAATTGTGATGTTCCACGCATTCAAAAGTCATTCAATGTTTATGAACACTTATTGATCATGTAATGAAGTGTAGAAGTATACAAATATATAAATGTTTAATGTAATTAATTATTCAACATATATTTTGTTGAATTAATTGTCTCTACTTATCTCTATGTAATAATGAAACAAAAACAAATCAACCTAAGTGTTATTGTTTCGTTTTTTTTGTTTTTTTTTTCTTGAAGGGTCACTTACAAGATTTTATATTCATGAATTGAGTTATAGAAACTTCATACTAGGTGCAATAAACAATAAATAATATGGTATGATTTATTTTTTTATTTATATACCTATATTGAGAAAAATGAATAAATAATTAATATCTAATTAATTTTATTCTATTTATATGCATAATGACTTCATATTATTATATATTTGTCTCTTTGAGAAGGATAGTTAGCTTCTGTTAATTTATACAATTTGTCTGTAAAGCATA